AACAGAAAAAAAAAGGAATGAAGCAGAGATTTGAAAGAACTAGGTTCTAATGGTGTAGTGGTGCAGCCTGTAATTCTAGCACTTTGGAGGTGGATGATCAGGAGATCAAGGCTAGCCTCAGCTACATAGCAAGTTTTAGACCAACCTGAGATTAATGAGGGGTTGTCTCAAAGGGGAGGAAGAAAAAAACCAGTGTCATTTGCAAATGTGTTATGTACCTAGAGCATTCATAAGAATCAGACATTTAAGTGAACAAATTAAGTTTTACAGTGCTCTTTGAAGGTCAACATCTGGATTTTGATTACCTTATTACACTTGTAACAATTTGCAAATAAAAGGTAAAATACCATGTCAATGGCACCAGCAAATCAGTTTCTTCACAGAGATTCCAATAAACTTCACTGTAACACTATTAGGAGAAAAGTGATAGAATGATCAAATGTTTTGCTATATCCTAGTGAAATAAATGTGTTCTGTCCCCAGAGCTCAGGCCAACATTTGCCCCTTGTGGTGGAGAGTTGTATTCGCTTCATTAACCTCAATGGTAAGTGTAGCTTATCTTCTGCTATGGTGGTACTGGGTATTTGTGGAGAAAGGGATTCTGCCTGTCAGCTCCTTGTCCTCCACAGGCCTGCAACATGAAGGCATCTTCCGGGTATCAGGTGCCCAGGCCCGGATCTTGGAGATCCGAGATGCCTTTGAAAGAGGTGAGGACTGATGGACAAATGTGGCAGTGGCTTCAGTAGGCACAAGTATTCCTCATTTTAGCATGTTACCCTCCACAGGGGAGGACCCTCTGGTGGAAGGCTGTACTGTCCATGACCTAGACTCAGTGGCTGGGGTACTAAAGCTGTACTTTCGGAGCCTGGAGCCTCCACTCTTCCCCTTGGACATGTTTAATGAGCTACTGGCTTTAGCAGGTGAGCCCTGAGGCCAGCTAGGTAGGAGAGCCACCCCTTAGTGCTATTACTGAGCTTTACTCAGTCTGTTCTCTGGGCTGCCTTGGCCACAGAACTGAAAGTCGTGGGTGAACGAGTGGAGCCTGTGAGCCATCTGTTATCCAGACTACCCAGACCTGTGCTAGTGGTCCTACGATATCTGTTCACCTTCCTCAACCAGTGAGTACTTCTGGGAATCCAGTTGGCTATTGGGGTTGGAGGGGTCACTAGTGCTGGAGCTCCCTGCCTGTGATCTGTGTGTTTCCCCAGCCTAGCCCAGTACAGTGATGAGAACATGATGGACTCCTACAACCTGGCTGTATGTTTTGGGCCCACACTGTTGCCTGTGCCTGCTGGGCAGGACCCTGTAGCCTTGCAGGGCCGAGTGAACCAGCTGATCCAGACTCTTATCCTGCAACCAGCACATGTTTTCCCATCCCCAGCCATGCTTCCAGGCCCCATCTATGAGAAGTGCATGGCACCACCTTCTGCCAGCTGCCTGGGGTATGCTTGGGGGATTCTTGGGGGAGAGGGAGTCTAGTGGAGGCAAGTTGGCCTTACTCTACTTGAAACATCAGGGATGGACAGTTGGAGAGCCTCGTTGGGGAGTCAGAGCTGGAGTTGAAAGCTGGGACCACAGCTCAGGAGGATGGTGAGAAAGGAGCAGGGAGACTCTATCCCATCTTCTTCCTGTGTACCCACTCTACTCTCAGCCACACCTTCTCTTCCCCATAGATCCAGAGGGAGTTGTAGAGGCTGTGGCCTGCTTTGCCTACACTGGCCGCACAGCCCAGGAGCTGACATTCCAGCAAGGAGATGTGCTGCGATTGTATGCTCGGGCATCAAGTGACTGGTGGCGAGGGGAGCATGCTGGTGTGCAGGGGCTCATTCCCCACAAGTACATCACACTTTCTGAGGGGTGAGTGAGCTATAGCCCTAGGGAGGGTCCCATTGTATCTGCCTTGGATCTCCTGGGCTGTGGTGTTCATGGTTGCTTTTTATCTCTTACTGAGCATAGATCTCCAGGCTTTCTTCCTCTTTCTGGAAGTAGCTGCTGTCATTCACACATCTCAAACAGGACTTGTTATATCCCAGGTTGCTGCCCTCCCCAACCCCAAGCCAGAGTCTATGGGTCTTGGTTGGGCCCAAAAATGATCATTCTCAGCTCCTTTGATTGAGGCAGGAGCCATTGGCCTTCAAGATCCAGCCAGGAAAGAGTCCAAAGTAAGCCATTCTTTTCCTTGCTCAGGGATGAGAAACAGATGGCTGGTTCAGGCCTACAGGCCAGGAGGGAATCTGTGAGCCATCCAGAGAGCTTCCTGACCTTGGAGTTAACTAACCGGTAAGCCAGGAAAAGGCAGCCCTTTGGGAAGACCCCTTAGAGGTTTCTACTTGCCTTGTGTGCTGTTAGAAGCAGCAGGCATGATGGGCCAGAGGCTAGCTACCCTGTTAAGCTTTAGGGTGTGGGTTCAGGCTTTAGCTACATGGGATTGAGAGAGTTGTTGCATAAAGGTCACTAGGTGTAGATAGAACAGAGTCAGCCTTTTTGTGACTGGGAGAGGTTCTGGAAGAGTTTGGGGACCATGGAGGCTCATCTCTTTCCTTGGCTGTACCTAAAATGGGCACTGCCAGCTTAGGTCAAGGATTTCCCAGGGCCATTGCCAATCTTCCTATCTCTGCCTTGTAGGCTGGAATTAGGCACCCTACCTGAGGCTTTGGGCCCCTCTGGGCACAGACGACATTGTTTAGTCCCTACCTCCCCTGAGCGACATGTGGAAATGGATAAGGTAAAAGCCAGGACTGGCTATGGGGCCAGCAGGGGGCGCCTCTTCTACATGTTCTCTGCCCTCCGCAAGGTGAGGCTCATTGCTACTACTCTCCTTGGTCCAGGAGCACCTGTTACTAGACATGCAAGTCAAGTCACAGTTTAGGAAGGAACATGGGGACAAGGAGAAAGAGGGTGTCAGAGACAGGGGTACGAAAACAGAGGCAGAGATGAGAGGGCAGATTATGAGCCCATCTGTGGTATGGGACTCACAACATTCTTGAGCTATGGGGAAGCCAGACTGTTTAGGCTGATGTGGGCAAGGAGCTCCAAGACAAACTTCAAGGCTGGCACCCAGAGCTAGGCTAGGTGCTTAGCTAGCCAAGGAGAGTGAGAGGACATATGGTGGGGAAGAAGGAGGGGCAGCTGGCTAAGGAAACAAAATAGTCTCAAAACAAGGTTCTAATGAGTGGTACAACTTAAGGAGTCCCCTTTATACAGTGGGTCCTTTGAGCCCCTATGGACTGAGCAGGAAGACAGTTACAAAGTCTTAGGAAGAGTGGTCCCACTCCTAGACCTAAGGATCCTAGGGAAGGCTGGAAAACACACAGGACCTAAAGCCTGGCAGCTGGGAGACCCAAGGGAAGCACTGACCCAGGAGTCCCCTGTATGTTTACAGCCTCAGAGGCCCTGGATGGAAGCTGTGATATCAGCCAGAAAAAAAGTAGGAGATGGAAGAAGGGGGACCCAGGGCTCAAAGCCACCCCCACCCCCCAGAACAAGACCAAGAAGTTACTATCCCACAAGCAACACTGAAAGTGACTAGAGGAAGGAAGCTGGAATGGAGTGGGGAAGGTGGTCTGAAGTCTCAACTAGTCCCTCTCATGACCCCTGGAGAGGGTGCCTGGCCTGGCCTGGCCTAGCTACAGTATGGTAGCCAAGGCCTTAGTTTGGAGATTGGCAGAAACTCACTGAGCACTTTCTGTTTTTTCCTTTCTGCTAGGCTGTGGCGCAGAACATGGATTCTGTGTTTAAGGAGCTCTTGGGAAAGGCTGCTGTCCGCCAGGGCCATGGGCTAGTAAGCCTAGGAACTCGAAACCTGAAGCCCCTGGCCTGCAGCAGCTTCAGCAAAAACAAGGTCTTTTCCTGGGGACCTGGGGCTCCAATTTCCCCCTCAGCCTCCCATCCCCAGGGTCCAGATTCAACTGGCAAGCCAGTCTGAGGCAGTTTACCTCCAGTAGCCACCAGCAAGCTCACCATTCTACCTATGCCTATTGCCTCACCTCAGCCCTGTTCTACCTCTTGGGAGGTAGCAAAGGAAGGAGGCTGGAGACAAGCCTCTCTTGTGCCTTTGCTTGGAAGTCTTGAGCTGTGGGTGTGGAAGATGGAAGTGGCAGTAATTCATAAAGACCCATGTGTTGGTTGCTGTTGTAATAACCTGTGCTGTTTGGGGGGGGGGCTGAGTAGGGTACAGGGCAACTCCCAGAGCCTGCACTGCTAGAGACCAGATGCCAAGACAGAAGGTTGACTTGGAGCTGTTTATTTTCCCCTGGGAATCTGATCCCAAAAATGGAATCTTGGTTGCTTATAAGATAGGTTCCTAATCATGGGTATATCTATGGGTGTGGGGATCCTTTATTTCAGCTTCTGTGCCCACCATATACTTGGTCCAAGGAAACTTTTTCCATGTGGAAAATGAACTGCAACTTTTATTAGGGAGACAGACAGAAGGGAGGAATGACAGGAAGATCTACTAGTCCTATCTTGGTCCTTCTTTCAGCTCCCTGAGAGTCTTCCTCATCTGCAGGGTACTTGCCAGGGTAGGAAGCACAAGCACCTCTGTTGCCTATTCTCCTCCCAGACCTTGAGGCATCTGTCCCAGTTGCTTCCCATGTCTGGCAACAAAGGAGCCAACTTTAGGGTTTCTTTACAGCCCTGGAACATTCCTTCTTATATACCTGGGGACAATGACACCTAGGGAGGACCAAGGATAACCAAGGTACCCTTTCTTGGTACTCCCAGGGCCAACTCTAGACAGTCAGCTGAACTACAGGGATTTTTTAAATAGAAAGAGCCCAGTAGCTACTCAGGAGGGTGTATCCTTCGTCAGAGAGGAGCTGGCTGTGGCACAGGACTCATCTTGAGGACCCAGGCTGTGTGTGGTGTGCCTCTGAGCACAGCAAAGCAGGCTACGCAACTCCGAGGAGACACTGCTACTGAAGGAAGCATAGATCCAGGGGTTGGTACAGCTGTTAAGGCTAGCCAGCAGCATGAGCAACACAAAGGGGGGTCCTATGAAGAAAAGAGTCCAGGCTGGAGCCAGGGTGTCCCTTGCTCACACTAGCAAGCCACAGGGACACCACATGCATAAAGGTAACAAGTAGAGTACTTCAATGTGTTGGGCAAGCCCCTTACCTCCCTCACCCCCAGCCTTAGTTACACCCACACCCACTTTCCAGAGGAGCTTCTGGATCCCACGCTGCCCACAGCTGCACAAGGAAGAAGGGTGCCCAGCACAGCACGTAGACAATCACAATCACCAGTGTCATCCTCACAGTCTTTGCCATGGCTGCAGATACATGGGCTCCCTCGCTGGGACTTCCTATCCGGTGCCCTCTTCGGCGCCTCCCTGTCCTCTCAGATGGCCCTGGCACCAGACTGGCATGTATCTCCCGAAAGATAAGAACCTGGCAGGCAGCAATGCCTAGGGCAGGTGCCACAAACACCATCAAGGCGATCCAGGTGACATAGGCACGAAGGCCCCATGGCTCTGCAAATCGGGCCCAGCAATCAAACACCCCACTGCCATTTCCCACATCACGTTGAGCAAAGATGAAGAGCTGAGGCAGGCTGAGAAGGAGTGAGAAGGCCCAGGCCACCAGCACTGGCCTGTTCCAGCGAGCCCCACCTCCATGGCGGTATGCCAGCATAGGCCGGCAGATGGCGCGGTGGCGATCTAGTGTCATGGCCAGGATCATGTAGGAGGAGGCATACATGCCCACCATCTGCAGGTACTTGACGGCCCGACAAAGGGCATCAGGGCCATGGAAGCGGTCAGTGGCGTCCCAAGCCAGCTGGGGCAGCACTTGAAACAGAGCCACAGCCAGATCAGCTAGGCACAAATGACTGATGAAGACGTGCATGGGTGCCCAGCGTCCACGCCGGCCCCGTCGTATTAGGGCCCCCAGCACTAGGCCATTGCTTAAGGCCACAGCCACAAAAATTGTAGATAGCAGAGCCAGTTCAGCCCGGACTAACAGCGGGTCTCGGTCATCCAGTAGTTCCTCCTTGCTGCTGTTGCTGGCAGAGCTAGGGGATGAAAGGGGCCCAGGCACAGCTGGGCAAGGGTGAGGGACAAGGGACAAGTTAGTGGGGTACTGTGTAGGCTCCCCAGAATGAGGATGTTCCAATGCTAGGGATGGTGTGGCCTGTGCAGCTGCCACCTTGAACCCCTTATCAGTCTTACAGCCTATTTCCTGGTTCCCAACAGAGGAAGTATTTAGTTTGGGAGGCAGGTAGTGCCTGCCTTTCAACCAATCCCTCCTGACAGCCCACCAGTTCACAAGAAAGGGAAATAGGTCTTTAGAAAAAGGGCCTTCTCAGCTTCATCGGATCCACCTAGCCCACCTGGTTCATCCAAGTGAAGGGTGTCAGGAACCCAGTGGCTGGAACCTTACTTACCAGACATGGTAGACACCAGGACCATGATGGAGTGTCTGATGATGACCTGCACACCTATCACGGGGCCAACTCAATCTCCCCTCAAGGGGCCAGCCCCACTTCCCAGGGTCAAGGCAGCAGATAGAAGTGCCAGGAGGCAGGTGAAGTGCCAGGAGGCAGGTGCCTTTCTGTAGGTGTGTTCACAGGATGGAAGTTCAGCCTGCATTTAGGCCTGGACAGGGAATATAAAGAACAGTCAGACAGAACAAACACACAAAACCCAGTTCCATCCAGGCATCTCACAAGAGCCAGACTGGTGATTAGGGATTAGAAGTAAGCATTAAGGTCCCTCTGTCCAGACAGTATCTTGGATAGACCACCATTGGAGGGATAAAGACTGGGCAAAGACAGACCAAGTGTGCATCTCAGAGCTCTTTTGTAGCCCCTTACCTGCTTCGGCTCCTGGGCTTCTGGGCACCTGGGCAGCAGCGTGAAGGTGGCCCAGCACTCAGATCTGTTCTCCATTGTTGGCCCCGCCCCAACCCAGCCTCAGGGAATAACCTGCACAGGAGACTTCCCCCCTCCTTTCCCTCACGCGCCACCCCTAGACTCACACCTCCCTGGCCTCCTTCCTCCATCCACTAGGAAGTAAATTCCTAGTCTCCAAATTCCTTTCCTGCCTTAAGCTTCCTTGGTCAGTCCCCAGGACCATCCCCCTTAAGCCCAGTCCCAAGCTTAACTCAGCAGCAACTTCCATCCTGCCTCCTTCTATTCCACAGGCCCACCTTTCTAGAACATATGGTATGGCAGTGCTGTGAGAAACTATTTAGTGCAGCACCTCATCTCCTAAGTGGAAAACTGAGGCTGGAAATGGCTGAACCTGACCCAGAATCACTACTTTTTCATGGCAAATCCTTAACTCCTTTATCCAAGCAATGCTCCTTCTTTTGTCTTTCTCCCCTGACAATGAAAAGCTAACACCCTGGAGATGGTAGAACCTCTTAGGTTCATTCAAGCCCCTTCTCAGTTAAGATTGGCTACCTGGAGATGAGGGTCAGGAAGGGAAGGGAAGGGGTGGGGTAGGGGCTAAGCGAGGGCTAAACATATCCCTTTGTGATCCAGCTTTCTCCTCCAGGGATCTGTAGGAGCCAGGAGCACCTCCAACCTCTTCCTTATGCCCCACCTACAATCACTTGCCCCAGGAGGAAAGCTTTCAGACTGATCTCAAGTATGCTTACCTGCCTTACTTACTCCCTTCATACACACATACATGTTTCACACAACATGAAGACTCATACATTTGTGCACTAACAGCAAACTTAGCGGTTCAAGTTTCCTGAGAGTAGAGAGTTTAAGGACCCAGATGTTTAGGTCCCTCTCTCCCACACATTCCTGACTCCTGCCACCTGTAACTCACCAGCTTCTTTTCCTTTTACAGCTTCCTGTCTGTTCAAATTAGCTTGTTCTAGTCCCAGGCTGTACCCTGCCCACCCACCCAAGGCCAAACTCCTTTTCTCCCTGTCTGTCTTCTCTTGACCTGCAAGGCTAACAACTAAAACAACACTACCATGGACCAGGACCAGGGATCTTGCCAACAGTCAAGGTCTCTTACTGTCCAGAGAGTCTGGTGGGGCTCCAGCTCCTTCCAGCCCCTTGGGGTAGAAGAGACATGGGGTGGATGCCTTCCTAACAGGCAGAGGTGTATGCCTCACCCCATTATTGTGCACACACACTATGTAGCTCAGACCTCCACATCCCACATATGCTACACAGTAGTACACATCACCCAATATACACTGCACATATATACACAATCACACACATATATATTGCTTTTGGGGGTCGTCCTTTGTGTTTTTCTGTTTTTAAGATAAGGTCTCCTGGTAAGCCTGGAACTCATGAAGTAAATTAAGCTGTCCTCAAACTTGCATAGCCTCTGTTTCCCAAGTGCTGGGATGCATCATGCTTTACTTTTTTTGATTTGTTTTGTTTGTTTTTGAGACAGGGTCTCTTTACATAGCCCTGGTTGTCCTAAAACTCACTATGTAGACCAAGCTGGTCTTTATCTCACAGAGATTCATTTGATTCTACCTCCCAAGTGTTATAGGCACTATTTATATCCATCTGTTTCTACCTACCAGGCATTACAGGCATACACCACCATGCCTTGATTTTTGTTTGTTTGTTTGTTGAGATAGAGAGACTCAAATCCTGAAACCACAGAGATCCATCTGCTCTGTCTTCTGAATGCTGGGATTAAAAACATGCACCACCATGCCTGGCTTTATTGTTGATTTTAAAATTTATTTATTTTATTACATTTATTTATGTGAGGGTAGGGGTGTGCAACTCAATGTGTGTGTGTGTACAGTGTGTGTGTACATAATGTGTGTGTGTCAGAGGACAACTTGTGGGAGCCATTTTTCTCCTTCCAGCATGTGAGTCCTGGGAATCAAACTCAGGTTACCAGGTTTGATGATAGGCGCATTTACCTACTAAGCCATCCCACCAGCCCATTGTTATTGCTCTTTAGTTCAACTTCACAGTAGAGTGATATCCAAAGTCTTTTGTCCTTTATTGGTGTTCATTGATATTCCTGAATTTTCTATCTGCACTAAAGAAGAATATTTGAGGATGTAGTGCTCTCTAAATATCAATTACATTAATTTACTTGATAATAGTGTTCAAATCTATATTCTGGCTGATTTTTTTCTTTCCTATTTGATCAACTCCTGAAAAACATATGATGTCAATGTTGGGAGATTCGTTTATTTCTAGCACCCTTTAGAGGGAACAATTTTTGCTTCATGTATTTGAGGGATTTGGTCTTGTTATTTGTTGCCTCTCAGTGTCTCTCTTACTTCTGGTAACATTCTTTATGCTGAATTCTACTCTATTTTTTATTTGTATAGCCACACTAGCTTTCCTTGATATATCTTTTTCCATACTTTGACTTTCAACATTGTTTATGTTTTAAAAGTGCTTCTTGGAAATACCATATAGATACTTTAAGGCTGATACTCTTTTAACCTAGTGTGGCAGATTGTAGACTTCCAAGGTACCCCCAACAATATCTGCATCCCACATGTTCTCCAGGAGCCTTGCCACCTTCCATCAAGAAGTGGAATTTAACCCTCTCCCTACAACCAGGGTAAGTTTGTGCATTGCTTGTGATTAAGATACTTTGCTAAAAGTGCTGCTTGCTTTCCAAGACTGGATCAGAAAAGTCAATGCATGCAGCTTCTGCTTTATTAGTTGGTGTACTCACCCATCACAACCATGTCCACTGCCTAACTTCCCTACTACCCCATGAGAAGACATAGTCATACTAGTCAGAAACTGATGACCTAGAACTTCCAATGCTCCTGCCTCTACCTGGGATTATAGGAGTGCACCATCAAAGGGGTCTGTGCAGTACCAAGAATGGCTTTGTAGGTGATAGGCAAGTACTTCACCAATGAACTCCATCCCCAGGCAGCATTTTTATGGTTTAGCATCAATTTTTTTTAAATCCACTTGTCTGATAATAGTGGTTTAGTTGCTTTTGGCTATTGCCATTTGCTTTCAAGTGAGCTCTATCACAGCACTTGATGCTGGCCTTGTGTAGCAAGTTCATTTGAATTAAATCATTCCTTCTGAAGGAGAGATGCTCATAAAACAAACTAAAATTAAAAGGAAACTTCTGAAATGTGAGAGGTTTAGGAGGCTCTGTGAAAACATTCACAAGCAAGATGAGCAAGCTATGAGCTGAACAAGCCAGCAAGTAGCATTTTCTATGGTCTCTGCATCAGCTCCTGCTTCCAGCCTATCTCAGGTTTGAGTTCTTCCTGCCTTGGCTTCCCACAGTGAACTGTGGACTCCAGATATGTAAGCTGAAATAAACCCTTTCCTTTCCAAGTTGCTTTTGGTCATGGTGTTTCATTACAGCAATAATAACCCAAACTAATACAGAAATCAGAGTTTTTTTTCCTTTTAGTTTGTTTGCTTTTGAGAAAGGATCTTGCTGTGTAACTGTAGTTAGCCTGGTAGTCAATATATAGTCCTGGTATACAATATATAAAATATAGGTCACTTCAAATTTATAATTTTATGCACCTGTCTGAGCCTCCTTGGGGTTAGGATTAGAGATGTGAGCTATCATATCATGCTTAGCTCAGAATAAGTATGTATTTTCACAATTGTATTTTCTCTATCATGTTGTCAGGATACAGGGTTCCCTTAAAAGTCAGGTGATCTATGGCTGTCTTGTCATGTTGGCCATGGTAGCCCAGGCTTATAATCCTAGATCTTCAAGAAGCTAACACAAGAAGATCATACATTCAAGACCAGCCTGGCAACTTAGTGAGAGAGCCCTTGTCTCAAATAAAAAGCAGTAAGAGGAGGCTGGATGTCGTGGCGCACACCTTTAATCCCAGCACTTAGGAGGCAGAGGCAGGTGAATCTCTGTTAGTTTGAAGCCAGCCTGGTCTACAGAGTGAGTTCATGTGCTCCTGTTCTGGAGTATTACACAGAGAAACCCTGTCTTGAAAAAACAAAAAGAAAGAATGAAGTACAGAAACTCTAGATGTACCAGGTCATGGTGGTGCTCATCTTTAATTCCAACTCTGGGGAGGCAGGCAGATGTCTGTGAGTTCAAAGCCAGGCTGGTCTACAGAGTAAGTACCAGGACAG